CAGTCTTGGAAGTTTGTATGTGTCTAGAAATTTATCCACTTCCTCCGGGTTTTCAAATTGTTTGGCATATAGTTGTTTATAATAGACTTTAATGATTCTTTGTATTTCTGTGGTATCAGTCGTAATGTCTCCTTTTTCATTTCTGATTTTTATTATTTGGATCTTCTCTCATTTTTTTGTTTGTTTGTTTTTGGTTAACCTAGCTAATGGTTTGTCTATTTTGTTTATGTCTTTAAAACACCAGCTTTTTGTTTCATTGATTTTTTTGTATCATTTTTTGAGTCTCTCTATCATTTAGTTCTGCTCTGATCTTAATTACTCCTTTCTGTCTACTAACTTTGGGATTAGATTGTTCTTGTTCTAGTACTTTGAGGTACAGCATTAGTGCATTTACTTGAAATCTTCCTATTTTTTTGATGTAAGCCTTTATCTATAAACTTCCCTCTTAGTACTACTGCTTTTGCAATATCCCACAGGTTTTGGTATGAAGTGTATTTATTTTCAATAATTGCAAGAAATTTTTGATTTCCTATTTAGTTTCTTCTTGGACCCATTGGTTTTTCAGGAACATGATGCTGAATTTCCATGTATTTATATAGCTTCCAGAGTTTTCCTTGTTACTGATTTCTAGTTTTAATCCATTGTGGTCTGAAGAGGTACTTGAAATGATTTTGATTTTTAAAACTTGTTGAGACTTGATTTGTGACCTAAAAATGTGGTCTATCCTGGAGAATGTTTCATGTGCTGATGAGAAAAATGTATAATCTGTATTTGCTGGATGAAATGTTCTACAGATATCTACAAGGTCCAATTGGTCTAAAGTATAGTTTAAATCCTGTGTTTCTCTGTTGATTTGTTGCCTAGATGATCCATCCAGTGATGAGAGAGGGGTGATCAGATCCCCACCTCTTATCATATCAGGGTCTATCTCTTTCTTTAGGTCTAAAAGTGTTTGCTTTATATATCCAGGTGCTCCAGAGTTGGGTGCATATGCATTTATGATTGTTACATCTTCTTGCTGAACAGATCCCTTTATCAGTACATAGAGGCCTTCTGTGTCTCTTTTATGGTTTTTGGTTTAAAGTCTGTTTTAATCAATATAAGAGTAGCTACCCCTGCTTGTTTTTGGTTTCCATTTGTATGGTACATCTTTTTCCATCCCTTTACTTTTAGTCTATGTGTTTCTTTACAGGTGAGGTGGGTCCCTTGAAGAGAGCATATAGTTGGGTCTAGCTTTTTAATCCAATCAGTCAGTCTGTGTCTTTTGAGTGGGGAATTTAATCCACTTAAATTTAAGGTTATTGTTGAAAGGTATTGCCTTACTCCTCACATTTCATTGAGTTTTGCTTGGATGTTTTAAATATTGTTTGCTCCTTTCTTCCCCTTTTGTTTCTCTTTGATGTTTGTTGGTCATTTGAGATGGTGAGATTTACTTTCCTTCTCTTTCTCATTTGCATTTTTGTTCTACAAGTGGGTTTTGTTCTTTCTGTGTATTCATGGTAGTGGTTATTATTTTAGAGATTCCAGATGCAGGACTCCCTTGAGGAAGTTGCAGGATACAAAATCAACCTGCAAAAATCAGTAGTGTTTGTAAACTCCAATAATGAACTGGCAGAAGGAGAAATCAAGAAAGCAATTCCATGTACAATAGTCATCAAAAACATAAAATACCTAGGAATTGATTTAACCAAAGAGGTGAAAGATCTCTATGATGAGAAATACATATGACTGCTGAAAGAAATTAAAGAGAACACAAAAGAAGTAAAGACATTCCATGCTCTTGAATTGGAAGAATAAACATTGTGAAAATGTCCATACTACCCAAAGTGATCTACAGATTCAATGCAATCCACATCAAAATACCAATGACATTCTTCACAGAAATAGAAAAAAACAATCTTAATATTTATATGGAATAACAAAAGACCCCAAACAGCCAAAAATAAAGCTAGAGGCATTACATTACCTGACTTCTAATCATACCACGAGATTCCAGATGCAGGACTCCCTTGAGGAAGTTGCAGGATACAAAATCAACCTGCAAAAATCAGTAGTGTTTGTAAACTCCAATAATGAACTGGCAGAAGGAGAAATCAAGAAAGCAATTCCATGTACAATAGTCATCAAAAACATAAAATACCTAGGAATTGATTTAACCAAAGAGGTGAAAGATCTCTACGATGAGAAATACATATGACTGCTGAAAGAAATTAAAGAGGACACAAAAGAAGTAAAGACATTCCATGCTCTTGAATTGGAAGAATAAACATTGTGAAAATGTCCATACTACCCAAAGTGATCTACAGATTCAATGCAATCCACATCAAAATACCAATGACATTCTTCACAGAAATAGAAAAAAACAATCTTAATATTTATATGGAATAACAAAAGACCCCAAACAGCCAAAAATAAAGCTAGAGGCATTACATTACCTGACTTCTAATCATACCACAAAGCTATAGTAACCAAAGTAGCATGTACTTGCATAAAAACAGACACTCACACCAATGGAAAAGAATAGAGAACTCAGAAATCAACCCACATACTTACAGCCAACTGAGCTTTGAAAAAGGCACTGAGAACATACAGTGGGGGAAAGACTGCCTCTTCAGTAAATGGTGCTGGGAAAATTGGACATCCATAGGTAGAAGAATGAAACTAGACCCGTACCTCTCCCCATATAGCAAAATCAACTCAAAATACATTGAAGACTTAAGTATAAGATCTGGAACCACACAGTTAGAAAAAGAAAACATATGAGAAACACTTCAGGAAATAGGGCTGGGCAAAGACTTTATGAGAAAGACCCCCAAAGCACCTGCAACAAAAGAAAAATTAAACAAATGGGATTATATTGAACTAAAAACTTTCTGCACAGCAAAAGCAATAATGAACAGACTGAAAAAACAACCTACAGAATGGGAGAAAATATTTGCAAACTATGAATCTTAGAAGGAATTAAATTCAGAATATACAATGAACTCAAACAACTTAATGGTAGAAAAGCAAGTAACCCAGTTAAAAAAAAATGGGCAAAGGAGCTAAATAGTCACTTCTCAAAGGAAGACATACAAATGGCCAACAGATACATGAAAAAATTCTCAACATCCATCAGCACCAGGGAAATGCAAATCAAAATCACACTGTGATATCATCTCACCCCAGTTAGCCTGGCTATTATCAAAAAGACAGAATAATAAATACTGGCAAGGATACAGAAAAGGGGGAACCCTACTATACTGTGAAACTGTAAATTGGTACAGTCTTTATAGAAAATGGAATGCATGTTCCTCAAACTGAAGAGGACCCCAAAATGTAAATTTCTAAGCCTCCCCCAGCCCCACTTGTCTAACTTTGCAGCTGGAATGTGCTTGCTTGTAAGGGACACCTGAGAGTTGTGTTCAGGGTTAATAGTTGATTACATCTCTGGCTTCTGTAACCCTGTGGTTTGCCTGCTTTGGAGAAAAGCCCCTTAACCACAATTCCTGTCTCTGTTAACCCTGTTTGATGAAGCCCCTCACCCGTTTTATGAAGCCCCCAACTTGGGTGACTCTGCCTGGATGCAGACAGAGCCAATAGAAAAGCTTGCATGCTTACTCAAGAAAGGTATAAAACCCCAGTTTTCCTTGCAGTTTACAAAGATTCTTGGGCAAGTATTTATTGAAGAATAATGTCAGAGCCCAGGAATTCAGAACGAGAGTTCACCTGGGACCACTAGCACAATAAATCTTTCTCACTACTCCATCCCCTCTGAGTGTTTGACGTTTCCTTGGCAACTTTTCCATAACAAAACAGCTACAGATAGAACTGCCATATGATCCCGCAACACTACTGCTGGGTATATACCCAAAGGAATGGAAACCATCATGTCAAAGGGAAACCTGCATTCCCTTGTTTATAGCAGCTCTATTTACAATAGCCAAGATATGGAAGCAACCTAAATGGCCAGCATTGGACGTCTGGATAAGGAAAATGTAGTATATATACACAATGGAATACTACTCTGTCATAAAAAAGAATGAAATTCTGCCATCTGCAGCAACATGGATGAACTTAGAGAAATTTATGCTAAGTGAAATAATCCAGGCACAAGAAGGGAAACACCACATGTCCTCATTCATAAGTGGGAGCTAAAAAAATAAAAATAAATAAAAATAAAAAAGAAAGAAAGATGAAACAATCACAATAATTTCTTGAACTTTCAAAAAGGAGAGGACAGAACTGAGGCTACCAGAGGAAAGAGAAGAGGAAGGGGAGTGAGAAATTGGTAAAGGGCCACAAAAAAATGAATACATTGTGTAATGATAGATATAGTAACTATCCTGACTGAGCATCACATATTGCACATAGGTATTGGTATTCAACATGGTACTCCACAGATATGTACAATCAATTATGTTTCAATTAAAAAAAAAAGAAAATATAAATAGCTTAGTCCTCCCCCAGAAAGTCATAAAATGACTCAATTGTTGGAAAACAAGACTAAGGATGATTATATATGTAACCTGGATTACCTAACTGGGAAATAAATGAGGTTCAATAATATTTTTTTATGTTTTCATAGGAAGGACAAAAGCAGTATGTTGAAGCTGTTTAGATATTGCTAAATAATTGATAAATAGTGAGGGTTGTTCAAAATATTGAATGAGCTCTCAGGAGAGACAGTATCATTTCTTCCTTGGAAGGTGATTCATTAAAAACTATTATTGATATGGTATGATTTGAATTGCATCTTGTATCTCCTATAGGAGCGGATGTATTAAATACCTTTTCAAGCATCCTTGTCTTAGTTTGAGCTATACCATAATGAAACTGTGACAAAGATTCTTGGGCAAGTATTTATTGAAGAGTAATGTCAGGGAGCCATTAAAAGAGTGGGAAAGAAAGACAGGAAAGGGAAGGAGGCTGAAAAGGGTGTGAAATCAAGTCAGTCACCACAATGAGATATGGAGCTTCATCTCACTGGGAGACTCTAGGAAACAGCATGGAACATATACCTCAAAGTTATTCCAACTGAGAAGCAAGGAGTTCGGTATTTATGCACCAACTCTAAATCATCAGTTGAAGGCTGCTCGTCGGGATTGTTAATTCGACTCTAGGAAACAGCATGGAACATATACCTCAAAGTTATTCCAACTGAGAAGCAAGGAGTTAGGTATTTATGCACCAACTCTAAATCATCAGTTGAAGGCTGCTCGTCGGGATTGTTAATTACCTGGCAAGCCTCCAGAGGCCACAGAAACTCCTCATGCAGCGAGATACAGGTGGTATCAGATGGAATTTCAGGGTGACATGCACAGAAATGGTAAATGACTGAGGGTATCCATGCAGGAAACAGTACATGCCACAATCCACCATATCAGACTATTCCAAAAATCGTTTCTCTGAATTTGCTTTGCTAATATAAAATGAATGCCCATGTTTATTCTCCCCTTCTTTGATCCCTCCAAACAGCTGGTAATATAGTTCCAACATTCCCATCCATATGCAAATGTAAGTGGCTATTTTTTTTTTACTCAAAATAGAAACAAACAAAAAATTGATAGTATAAAAAGAAAATGATTGTTACTATATTTCAAAAAAAGATATTTCCAATTACTATTTTCTCTTTCAAAATACAAAACTTAATAAACTGCATACTTATTTCAACCAAGATGTCATTGCTCAAAACTTTTAGAAAGTTAATATTTGAACTTTATTTTAGAGACTTTGTATCCTCAGTTATGGCTCTAATTTTGTAATGTCTCTTTAACAAGTTGATTCACTGCAGGAATATACTTATGTGGCAAAGAAATATGTGATGAGTAACTTATTCCCCTTTCTTCCTAAAATACGAGAAAATAAATATTGTGCTAAAATAGCAGTTTGAGTCTTATAAGAAAAAATATACAGAAAAAGAGTAAAATAGCACTTGTTGACAAACATAAAATACAGCATAATCAAAGAGTTTAGAAAATAAAGACTTGAAAACACAAAAGGGGTTCAACATAGAATTCTGATAAATTACAAAATATCCCGACACATAATTTCTTATCAGAAAGTTTCTTTTATCAAAAGTTTCTTATTTGCACTTAGACATTATTCTTACAGGTAAGCCAAAGAACATTTCTTGGGACCTAAAAAGAAAACAAACAAAACAAAACAAAACAAAACAAAACATCCAACTAAATTCATAGATTTAAAAACATTAAAAAAAATTTAATCCCACTCGGGTAAATGACTATTCTAGCATGCTTCCCACCAATCAAAGTCATCCTTACAAACATACTTATGGTGTCAGAGCTCACAAGTACATGCCATTCTAGCCAAGATTAAAAGTAACATTCTTGGATTATTCAAGGTTAATGATGCAAGGCAAGGACTCCTAGAACAATGCCCGTGAAATGAAAAGTACAATGACCTTAACAATGGAAAATCATTCCTCATGTTTTCTGTGCAAATATACACACCACTAAAGGAACTATTTATGGGGGAAAGGTCTAGTGCAAATATGAAAATAAGAAATCTCGTATGCAAAGGGGTGTTGTGGAAACAATGGAGAACTGTAAGTCCATGTAACCGACAACATGTGAACTCTGTTCTTCCTGATCTATTACACTCTTCATCAGTGGGGGTATTTGCTTTCTACAAGTACAGAATGCCTGTTATGTTGCATTATCTCTAAATAAAGATGTTTGCTGAAATATACCAACACTTTTTTTATTTCATCATAGCCTATTTGGCAAGTTATGGGGCAAAGCAGTGGTGAGTGCCTGGGGTCTGACTGCTTCAACAGGCAAACTGGTATTTATACAATGACCCTGTGTACTCTTCTGACCACTTTGTATATGGAGACATGAACGATGATACATAGTGATTACTTGCCAGCCACTGAAAACATTGTCACTGCCCTGGCATTATGGGGATTTTCCCAGCCTGCTTCATGAAGATGTCACATAGTGGTGAAGTTCATCAATAGCCAGGGCAACCTGGCAACAATGAAGCAGTTACGTGTCTGAGAATCAAATCTAAAATATAGTGAGTAAACTTGATAATCTAAGGGAGAAACAAGTTGGGTTTGCTTTTCTGCAGCACACTCCATTTACATTTCAAATGCCTCTTTTGAAATGAGGAAACATACTTACCAATGAGAAAAGAATAAGCTATGTGTACTCTATGCTCAGTAAACTTCTATTGACCCATACTAATGATAAGATGTGCAGAGGAGAGAAATGAAAGTTGGTTCACCAAAGACTTGGAAATTGGATTCCAAATCAGAATGCTCATTCATACAATCTATTATGTAATTTTCTTCCCCAAAATAAATATCACTGACAAACACATTGTTTGCTACAATAACATGTTCAAGTGAGAAATACAACCTTCAGTGGGACTGACTCGACAGTATCACTATGTAAGGAAAGAAGAAAAATTTAGTCAGGCTCACTCACCTCACATCTGTTACAAATGGGCAAGATTCAGCATGTTCATTAGAAACAAGTTACAATAAAGTAGTGTAACTGCACATGTGTGCCCATTTACTGATTCGGCATGATTGTTGTAATTATGTAATGCTTGGTTTATGGCCGCTATTTTGTATCGAGAATACAAAAGTAACTGCTCTGAACTGCTGGTTGGCAGAGCATGTAAGGTCGGCAGAGCATGGAAGGTCAGTGGAGTAGAGCTTGAGCTTGTGTCTGAGAATAAAGCATATCTGTGAAGCTCACATCTAAAGAATAAAGTATGTCTACCTTGCATAAAGCTGCCAGAATCTTCTTTCAATTACCTGATTCACGACCTGTATGAGAATAAAGCATATCTGTGAAGCTCACATCTAAAGAATAAAGTATGTCTACCTTGCATAAACCTGCCAGAATCTTCTTTCAATTACCTGATTCACGACCTGTACAGGAAGGGGTAGAAGGATCTGAGATCCAGCCTGACACACTAATAAATCAAAGCAGAGAATGGAGCAAAGCTGAGACAGCTGTAGAAATTCATAGGTAACTACTTGGACCTTAGTCCAAAGTAGATCACTTTCTTAAACTAATCCACAAAGATCAGGCATATCAGATTGCTATTTTCAGTTACTTCTTGGCTTCAATGTGACAGAGATAATGTATTTTTGAAGTTTCCTAGATAAGAGTCTGAACAAACTTCTTGGGAAGAGAAATATGTCTTCCTAGTGGCAAGAAGAATACCTAAAAAGACACTTTCAAAAGTCCTACAGAACCTTGGCAATGGTTATATAGAAATCTCTTGGCTCCATAATCAGAATGGGATGTAGATATTTTGCAGGGATGCCGTATGTTTTTTTTTTTTTCTATACACCTGTATACAGGATATCTGGAATTAGTCAATGTAGAAAAGCCTAAAAATGGGAGACGAAACAAGTTACCCTTGCAAATTACAGTAGGCTTCAAGTCCAGTGAGATCTAATATGAGTTTATTTTTTTTAAACTGAAAATAAGATATGTCTTTTGGTCTCATCTGCTTAACTCTGAATACGTTCTGAAATAAAGGCCTTATGAAACAATAAACTCAGAGTGAGGAAGAAAAAAAAAACTATCAAATGTTATAAGAAAAAAATCACAGACTATATGTCTCAAACCTTTCTTTCTCCAGGCATTTAAATGAGTGTCAACAGTCCAGTCAGTTCCTGTAGCTATGGGAAGACCCTGGTAATAAGTAAAGAGTCAAAAAGGAACACTTCTCTGCCAAGCCTCTATCATCAATCATCCAGATGCTGAATCATGAGAAGTGCAATCAGACCACATTTTCAATTTCTGACTGGACAAGACTGCTTCAACTATCAGGAGACAAGCATGTTCCCATAACCATGACCATGGCTGTTGCCTCACAAACAAAGAGGGAGTCGTCCAGGTATTTAAAAACCACAAAGAGTTTGTAGAGCTGATATGAGCAACTGATAATTCCTACCTCTCTGCACAGAAGTTAAGAGTGTACATTAAAAGCTGATAATTAGGTTGGTTCCATATCTTGGCTATTGTAAACAGAGCTGCAATAAACATGGGAGTGCAGGTATCCCTTCAACATGATGATTTCCACTCCTCTGGATATATACCCAGAAGAGGGATTGCTGGATCATATGGAAGATCTATCTGTAGTTGTTTGAGAAACCTCCAAATCGTTTTCCAAAGTGATTGTACTAATTTATAGTCCCACCAACAGTGCAGTAGTGTTCCCTTTTCTCTACACCATCACCAGCATTTGTTATTCACCATCTTTTTGATTATAGCCAGTCTAACTGGAGTGAGGAGGTATCTTAATGGGGCTTTAATTTGCATTTCCCTGATGACTAGTGATGTTGAGCATTTTTTCATGTACCTGTTGGCCATTTGTATGTCTTCCTTTGAAAAGTGTCTATTCAGCTCCTTTGCCCATTTTTTAATTGGGTCATTTATTTTTTTACTGTATAATAATTGGGTCATATGTCTTCCTTTGAAAAGTGTCTATTCAGCTCCTTTGCCCATTTTTTAATTGGGTCATTTATTTTTTTACTGTATAATTGCTTGAGTTCTATGTATATTCTGGATATCAGTCCCTTGTCGGATGCATAGTTAGCAAAAATTTTCTCCCACTCTTTAGGTTGTCTTTTCACTCTGTTGATGGTTTCCTTTGCTGTGCAGAAACTTTTTAGTTTGATATAGTCCCATTCGTTTATTTGTTCTTTTCCTCCTTGTGCTTTTGGGCTCATGTTCATAAAGCCTGTGCCCTGACCTAACTGCTGAAATGTTTCACCTGTATTTTGCCTTAGTAATTTTTAAAGTTTTGGGTCTTATACCTAGGTCTTTAATCCATTTTGAGATGATTTTAGTGTATGGTGAGAGATGCATATCTAGTTTCATTCTTCTGCATATGGATATCCAGTTTTTCCAGCACCACTGGTTGAAGGGGAAATCTTTTCCCCAATGTAGATTTTTGTTGCCTTTGTCTAATATCAGATGGCTGTAAGCCTGAGGAGTGATTTCTGGGTTCTCAATTCCACTCCACTGTTCTGAATGTCTATTTTTATACCAGTACCATGCTGTTTTGGTTACAACAGCTTTGTAGTATAATTTGAAGTCAGGCAGAGTTATTGCTCCAACCTGAATGTCCATCAGTAGATGACTGGATAAGGAAACTGTGGTATATATACACTATGGAATATTACTCTGCCATAAAAAAGAATGAAATGCTCCCATTTGCAACAACATGGATGAACCTGGAGAAACTTATGTCGAGTGAAACAAGCAAAGCACAGAGTGATAAATACTGCATGTGATCACTCATATGTGAGAGCTAAGAGAGAAAGGAAGGCAAGAAAGAAAGACCATAGTAATGCTGTGATCCAACAGAGGGAGGGAGCAGCCCCAGGGCTACTCATTGGAGTGGAGAGGTGAGGTGGAGGGGGAGGGAGGTTGGGGGATAATTGGGAGGGGACAAAGGGTACAAAAGTAATTTCTGGTAATGGGTATGCCCCCAGTATGAATCTGGCCCTCACATCACGGGCAGGAGGGGAGACAATCAGTTTTGTATCTCATGAATATTTGTAATAAATAAATAAATAATTAAAAATTTTAAAAAAATTTTTTTAAATTTTTTAAAAACCACATTGAGATATTATGTCACTTCAGTGAGACTGGATGTTATCAAAAACAGAGAGAATAACAAATGCTGGTAAGGATGTGGAGAAAGGTGACCCTGCTACACTCTTGATGAGACTGTAAATTCGTGCAGCCATTATGGAAAACAGTATGGAAGTTCCTCAAACAACTACAGATAGAACTTCCACATCATCCAGCAATCTCCCTGGTGGATATACATCTAAAGGAATGGAAATCATCATGTCAGAGAGATACCTGCATTCCCATGTTTATTGCAGCTCTATTTACAATAGCCAAGAGTTGGAACCAACCTAAATGTCCATCAGCGGATGATTGGACAAGGAAAAAGTGGTATAAATACACAATGAAATACTACTCAGCCATAAAAAGAATGAAATTCTGCCATTCACAGCAACATGGCTGAGCTTGGAGAAAATTATGTCAAGTGAAATAAGCCAGGCAGAGAAAGGGAAATAGTGCATGTCCTCAGTCATAAGTGGGAGCAAAGAAAGAAAGCAAGGAAGACCACAATAAAACGTTGAACTTTCAGAGTCTATAGATAATAGATGTGAAAAAGGGGGAGGGAGAGTGGAGGTGGGGAGCAATTGGGTATGAGACACAAAGAATAATTATATTTTATAATGACGAACATGCTAATAATATTGGTTTTATCATTACTGTACACAAATATTGATAGTCAATGGAGTTTGGATGTGTTGTCCCCTCCAAAACTCATGTGGAAATTTGATCTCCAATGTGGCAGTGTTGGAAACTGGTTGAGTCATGGGGGCAGATCCCTCATGAATGGATTAATGCTCTCCTTGGGGGAGGGGGGATTAATGAATGAGTTTTCATTCTACTAGTTCCCACGAGAGCTCATTGCTTAAAAATACCCTGGCACCTTCTCTCTCTCTCTTGCTTCTTCTTGCCATGTGATCTGCTTGTACCCATCGGCTGCCTGCCGCTTTTCCACCATGAGTAGAAGCAGCCTGAGGCCCGTGCCAGATGCAGCTGTCCCAGAATCATAAGTCAAATAAACCTCTTTCCTTTATAAATTACCCATTCTCAGGTGAGCAATATAAATGGGGCTTCTCATGGCAGAGCTGATTAATAGACATACTCAATATTCTTCCAAGAGACTGAATTTTTTTCTAACTCTTGGATAAGGTTTTAAATGTCACTTTTCTCATTCCCATGTGACTTACATATTTTCTAAATCACCCTTCATTTCGAACTACCATTGACTAGAAGCATGGCAACGGAGGAAGGACATCATTGTTAATAGTTTTGTAAATCTTAACAACTTATTTTTTTTAAAGGGTTCTTTAGAAATGTTAGTATTATGTCTAGAACTGATTCTCATCTAATGTTGTATAAATGAAAAGATACCACTTAATTTTTTTTTCTTTTTAACTTGGAGCGAGTTTGAGCCCTAGAATTTTTATGAGGTAGTATTTG